TGAATTACTGGCTTAAAAAAGTATTTATTTTGTTGTGAAAAAAACATAGTTAGCACATTTTGACACCCATGAATTAATCAGAACCACATCATAGAAACAAGAATTATTGATTGGAGCCAAGATTGACCAAAGAAAACATTTAAATTCCCTTCCCACGAGGAAATTGGATTCGGCTTATAAATGGTCAAAGTAATCAACGCATCCAGGAATTAAAGTGTTGAATGTTGACCGTAACAAATCCAACCATTAAACCCATACCCTCTTTTTCAATCAAATTCAAGTCCCGTAATGTTCATTTTTGTGTTCTATTCGTAACATTTATAAGATGAAAAATAATAATTAAATAATTACGCAACATTATTACATTACAAATTCCATTAGCAATTACTATTTAAAAGAACATACAGTGATTACATGAACTTATTTTATATTTCCATTATAAACTCATTTTCATACATCTACGTCTGTGAAATAGTAGATGTTAGATTATTAATAACACCGTTTAAAGATAAATCTCAGGACCATAAAACTATGTATTAAGCTTGAGTTACAAAAAATTCCTTTCTTAGGTGTATGTGACCAATTAGTATTGCTCTTGATTTGTGAAAATTTCTGTTTAATATTTATGCCTTAGCCAATGCCCATAAGGGACTTTTTTTTCCCCTCTCTCCTCATTCCAACAATATAATGTAAGGAATGTTCTTCGAGATACTCTGATAGTTAAGTGAATAAATAATTGTGGATGAACTATGGAGTTAATTCGTTGTAGCTCTTGGAGCTTGGGTTAAGGGGGAACTGAATAACAATGATAAAAGATTTCTCATTATTCGGAATTTTTTTAATACCAAAGGACAAAATGGAAGTGGTCAAGCATTGTGTAAAAGCCGTCTTGTTGGTCCAAACAAGAATCATCGTATCATAACAAGAAAGGCATTTGACGGTAATCTTATACGTTTATTACTTGTCAAAGGCATAGAGTTGGAAGGTTTTTTCATTTTCCCAATGTGATTTCTTCGTATTATATTTGATGTGTGAAGGAGTACAAGAGTGTGCAGTCAAACTTGGTGAGCCGTTTCTTTGGCCCAATGCTGAATCATACGAAGCTGCCCTAATTTTTAATAGTGGGTACCCGAATTTTTGTTTCCAACTGATTCATCATCGACAATTCATTAATCCGGTTCAATTACCTTGGGACCCATATTGAAGTAAGGAAATTTAGAGCCCGTTTATTTCGACTCTCAAAAAAAATAATTTTTATCTCTTTCTTATTTTTAAAGTATTTTTTTACAAAAGTTAAAATTATTTATATTTTTATAAAAATATTTTATTTTTAAAAAAAAATATATTTGGTTTTTGATTTCTATTTTTTTTTAGAAATTAAATTTTTTAATTTCTAAATAAAGTAGATTTTTGATTTTTTTTGTGACTTCTATTTTTTAAAAAAAATAGACATCCAAACGAACTTAAAGTGATAAATGCATTTTTTTATTAAAGAAAACAGTTTTTGGAGAAAAACAAAATCATCCAAACGAACCTTTTGAAATCTTATCAAATTATCCCAAAGAAAAGAGGAAGGTGAAGTTTGAACAATAAACTAAAGTGTTGATAATTATTGGTTACAAAAATTCACGGTTTAAATTTTAATAAAACACACTTACGTAAATGATAAAATTAAATTAATTAAAATTTATTTTCATAGGTTTTTTTTTTTCACTTATACATTGTTCTCTACTGCACTGTATATGGCATAGAATTCAAAACCTTCTCACAAACTCATATTACAAATAGCCCAAATCCATATTAAAAATAGGGGTGGTGTATAAATTCAAGACAAAGATGAGTATTTTTTTTTTTTTTTTTTTGATAACAAGATGAGTATTTTCAATCCGACATAATATGAAAAATCATCAATGCCAATATTTTTAATATTGATATAATTTATTTATTATGTAAATTGATGTAACAGAAATAATCCTTCAATTTTTTTATATAAATATAATTTAATTAATTTTAAATTTATAAATAAAAGTGAAATAAGTGAAAATAAATATATAATAATATAATTATTTAATTTAAACGAATTAATTGTGAATCAATATGAATATAAATATATTTAATACAAACATAATATGAATTTTTCAATATAAATTTTTAATTAACACGAAGACGAATATAAATTGTTATAAACACAATTGTAAACCCTACTAACAAATTTTTTGAACATATGTATCACAGTTGTCGATACATCAAAGTTTTTTTAATTTTTTTCTGGCTTTTTGGTTAGAAATAACGAAAATGATAGTTACATGTATTTCATAATTTATGAATGTGTATAATTTGAATGAATTCGTTTAATTTATGAGTGTAAGCATACTTATCTTCAAAGAAAAAAAATCTTCAAAAAAATAAAAATAAATAACCATCCGTCCTTCATATTAATAGAATAGAGTGATAATATAATCAAATTCACCCATTTTTTTTTTGGCAACACTACTTAATACGTATTATACTCCACAAATTTGACCATGAAGTTTGGTGGCTACACAAATTAAAATAATTATGAAACTGCTAGCCACAGTCTTATTTTATTTGATGAAACACAAGCACCTTTATTTATGTTTGGTTATTCATGTGCCGTTTCATGATTAATATTGTTTCATAGGATTTAGTATTACGGTTTTTTTGTGTGTGGGTAAGATCCAATATTCCAATCCACCTTATGATAGAAAAAGTATTTCACTGGAGATGACCACTCGCATTCTGAATGGTAATCAAACAAATCTTAAATTTCCCATGTTCTCTTTTATTCTTAGAATCGCATTATATTTAACATTTTATTTATAACTGACGAAGAACAAGGTAATATATTTAAATAGGAAAAAAATTTAAATACAGTGATAATCTGTAATCTTTTTAGTGGAATATCCATACGAATAAATAGGAAAATTAACAAACACGCCATTATGAAAAGTGACATAAATCTTTTAGGCTAAAGCGTGTGTCATTTTAAAGGGTGTAAAGTTGTGTCATTTTAAGAGAGAGAAAGAAATAAATAAAGTAGGAGTGAGAGTTGACAAAAAAAAGTGTGGGTCCCACCTCTTTGTGAGAATGAAAGAATATAAATTGTGTCATTTAAAAGAATAAACACTTTTCTCAATCTTTTATGATGCCAGCATAAGAAAAAAATAAATTTTGTCTACAATGAGGGAGTTTTTTTTTTTTGGTATTTTACAATGAAGGAGTTTAGAAGACACAATTAGGGGATCTAGATTCTTTCTCTTTATCACGTGGAATAATAATTAGTTTTTTTTTTTTATAAAAGTAATTAGTTTAATTAAACCTGAACTCAAAGGCCAAATATATACCTAATTCTAATACTCGTATCCATATCTACCCAGTAAAAAGTCCTTTTTTGTGGTATTAATTATAATTCAGAGGATGAAATTGTTAATATTGTTTATTATTGGATGAAATTGTATGTTAATCTCATTAAATAATTTGAGCTTATTCTCAAATATTATGTAAAAAATATATTACTAAGATTTATCCTATAATTTGTTATTATGTACTTCTTAGTAACCTCCTCCCTCTTTCCTGGTTGGAAAATTAAAGCAAGTGGACCCAAACCTCAATTGTTAGCACATTCAAATTTGAAAACTAGCTAGCTTCCTCCAATCCAAACACTGTCCTTCAATTACGACGGCCACGAGTTGCTCAAGCTGCCATTTCCATCCTTTTAAAATTTAATAAACAACAATTTTGAAAACAAAACCATTGAAGATTTAGAATTAATAAATTTCACAAAACTACAAAAAAAAAAAAAATGAAAAAGAGAAAAAAATATTTTCACAAATTTAAAGTTTTTAAAATCATTTTCTTAAAACAAAAAATATTATCTTATTTTAAGGTCATTAACATCACAAACACTTTGATAAAGATTTATAGTTTTTTTTTTTTTTTAAAGTCACACCCTTTAAATTAAAGTTTATTTATTATCTAAAACACTCCTTATAAATATTTTATGGTCATCAACTTGTACTACAATAAAAATTAATGACACGATCTCAATCATGCTCAATATAAAAAACCTACTATTTATTTCCAAAAAAATAAAAAGCCTACTATCTATAGCCATCTCACATACAAAAACAGTAATTTTAGAAAAAGTATTTCTCGTGGTCACTGTAGATACAGTTATTTCCAATGAAATTAAAACAACATCTTTTTGGAATTATAAGATTAAAAAATTATAATTGTAAATACTAATATAATTCTGCAAAATATTATAATTACAAAAATACTTTGATTTATGTCTTAAAATAATGTCATTTTGAGTTCACCAGAAATAATTTATCTCAATTGAACAAAAAAATTCTTTACCCATATTCAAGTTTTTTTTCCGTGTTTTTCACTAATAAAGAGATAGGTGAGAAATGTAAGATTAATTCAATATTCAATTAAGATAACATCCAACAAATAATGTAGTTTCGCATATTATATATAAAAATATCTCAAGTGGAATTAAAAAACAATTAACTTTACCATTTTTACTATCTTTTTTATTATCATTAGATTAATTTTAAAAAATTGTTAATTTTAAATTAATTCAATGATAATCAAAGAAGTAGTAAGAATGATAAAATTAAATGATTATAATATAACTTTTCCCTTTTAATATATCTATTTTAAAGATAAATTTATTTTCAGAGTTTTTTTTTTTTTTTTTATCAACGATAGATGTACTCGCTATTACGTCATTTCGTAGGAATGAAATTTTCCTCGTCTTGTTCCGTGTTGAAAAGTTGCCCCTCATTCGCATCGAGTACCATTCAGTTTCAAACGCGAGTAATAAACAATAGAAAAAATTAATGCATTATTTAACATTAATTAATAAACATTGTATATATATATATATATATATTTTATAAAAAAAAAAAACAATTAACATTATATATAGTGTAGACATTAACAAAGGCAAGGATTGTCGAGTCGCACAACAATTCTCAAAATTACAACCTTGTCCGGTCATCTTCATTTTCGGAGAGAAACCCAAATAAAATTGAAGAGAGAGAAACCCCAGAAAGAAAAAAAGGAAACTGGTTTGTGTGAAATGCTGGTGACCGAGTAGCAACGCGGTGGCGCTGCCACGGCGGTGTGAGATCTTTCGGCGGTTCTGAGCATTTCCGGCTACAGTTTGGCGATATGGGTTCCGGCCAGGTTAGCGGCGGTGGCGGTGGCGGCGGTTCTAGTGGTGGTAACTCTAGTTGTTGTGATATGACTCTCAAGTGTTGGTGTAGGTGGAGATTAGAGAGCCAGCACTACTATAACCGGTTTTTTTCGTCTGGTTTCGTTTTCTTCTTCGGATGTTTCGTTTTGTTCGGATCAATAGCAAGCCTCTATGGTTGGCTTGCTTTCTCGCCCACTGTGCACACCGCTCTCTCCCCTTTTGGTTGTCAAGAGGACAATGAGGGTTCTTGGTCAATCGGTATTTTCTATGGTGACTCCCCCTTCTCTCTTAAACCCATTGAAACTGTAAGTTTCTTCTTCTTCTTCTTCTTCTTCTTTTCTCTCTCCCCCCCTTTATGTATTGTGTGTCTGGTTTGCTTCTTCTTTTTTTGCGTTTTTGTGGGTTTATTGTGTTGTTGTTCATATGCATGAACTGTGTTGATTTTCTACCCAACAGTTATAATTTTTTTAAAATAAAAATCAGAAAAATGGATTTTTTTGTTCAATACTTTGATTATGATTACTTCAGTTTTTTTTTTCTTATACATGTGTTGTGTATTTTGAATTATGATGTTGAAAGTTTTGTTTTTGTTCTGATGAACTGATCGTAAGAAATGATTTCAACTGGGATTTCGTTTTGTGATGTGGGTGTGTGGGATGGATTGATTTTTGTTCTTTGGAGGTGATGGTCTTGATTATGTGCAGGCGAATGTATCGAACGATGACAGTGCTGCTTGGCCTATAGCTAATCCTGTGGTGACGTGTGCTTCTGTTTCTGATGCTGGCTTTCCTAGTAATTTTGTTGCTGACCCTTTTCTTTTTATTAAGGTAACAGGTTCTTGTCACCCTTGGTTCCTTCATATATCTGGTGTTTCGGATTCTATGAAATAGTTTTATTCCTTTCGCTAGCTGTATTTTATTCCTTCTGTAGGTTTTTTATAGGCAAAATCTAACCTTTTTTTTACACGCCTGTTTTTGTTCGCTAAGTCAGTGTTTGGATTCAATTGTTAATCCTCAATGAAACAAGCTTGATGTTAGAATGTTACCGGGCAAAGTTAAACATAATACATCATGTTGTTATTATTTTTCCTGATTAACTTGCCCCTTTCTGGAAAAAATTGCTTGGAGCTTTAAATTTGACATGGAGCAGTAGAATAGGCTTTTCTCTGTGTGACAACAGGGATCCTGGATCTGTATACAAGTAATATTTTCATTGTTGCTTGTTGTAATTCCACAATTCTTTACTTAAAGTGAGAAGCCGCTCGAAAGTTGATGGTCTTGAAGTGAGAAATGAGATGAGATTTATGGCTAAGTAGGAGTTGAAATCCACTAGGGAGTGTGTAATAACTCAATTGCAGAATCAACTAGCCCCAAAAGTTGATGGTGCTGAAGTGTGCGACCTAGGGCAAGGGCCAGGCCCCGATGAGTAGGAGGGTGCGGCGGGTCCCACTTTGTGGGTGAGCCAGCATGCCCTCACCGGTGCGTGGGGGGATGCAAAAACACTTAATTGAAGTGGTCTTTTGTGACTTATAGCTTCAACTTGCTTCATGTGACATCTTGTATGTTGTTTTTGTCTGAACGTTTCTGCTCTTAACTAGGTAGTAGGTCCGTTCCTTACTATATGTAGCATACTTGGAGAAGATTTCATTTTACAGCAAAACCATAAATTTTTTACTATCATGGAGCTAATTTTAGTATGCTATATGACATAAAATGTAGGCTTTCTACTCATTCTGTATAATATCTCCATTTGAGAGTGCAGCATAAATCATTTTCCTTAATAGGATATTTACAAAACCGTACAAGTTTTAATGCCATCATTTAGTCGATAACTGTAGTAACCAGGGTGCTCTTAAGTGTAAAAAAAGAAACAGTGGCCCTCTTGGTTGCCCATGTTGTAAAATTAAAAATAAAGCTAGCAGGAATAGATCCAATTATAGGGATTGTCCAGAACAGTTGCTTAATCTCTAATCTATTTTATCAATGTTTTTTTATCTGTAAATTTTACATTTTGATTGGACAAGTGGTACTTATACATGATTTGTTGAGCACTGTCAATTTGATTTTTCTTCCTTTGGACCATATTATTTTTGTTTGGGAAAGGAAATGAACTGTGTGTTGACTGGGAAATGAAGTGTCCCTTTGAAATTCTTTTCCATATCTATGAACAATTATGAATCTGAAGGTTGCATGAAATTGAAATGCTTTTCTAAGAGGATGGACAATTATACATGGTGGTCATTTTAAGTGTCTTTAAAAAAAGTGGCAGAGTGCACATGGCTCCCACCATTGTAGGACAACTATTTAAGTGTTGTTGTCAGGGAAAAATATAAAAGGTAAATTAAGCTCAATATTGGAGAACAGGGTGCAATTTATATAGACTTATTCTGACAAAATGAGTAGTTCCTTTCAAAGTATTCATGCAAGTTTACTCTTTCAACTGTGTAATTTCAAAATGGATAGAATCAATTGTTTTTCCTTTTTCTTTTCTTTTTTTCCCCCAATTTTCTATTGATTGTCAAAAAATTTGTGCCAAACAGTCAGTTTATCAGTAGCTCCTGGCATCATTAAGGCTGCAACAAAATCTTGCCTGTGTTATACTGTTTGTATCTATCTGTCTTTTGTCAATACAGGTGTTAGCCTATTGTGTAAACATTTTATCTTGTTGCTTCAGTATCTTAGTTTGTATAATGAACGTTTAATAGACAGTCTCCAAATAAAAAAGGTATAATTATTTAAAAAGCCTAGAAATATTCATGTGTGCTCGAACAAGAACATGCTTGACTATGTTCGTGGATGATAAATGAGAGATGAGTAATATTAATGAAAAAAAGGTTAATATCTTGTTATAGAGGTGTCTTCAGCTTTTAAGTTTCTTGTTTTTTATATGGATAATGAGTAATCAGTATGAACCTATTCACTTATATTGGCATTGCAATTTAGGGTGATATTTTGTACCTGTTCTATGAGACAAAGAATCCAGTCACTATGCAAGGTGATATTGGAGTATCAAAAAGTACTGATAAGGGAGCAACATGGCAACAACTGGGAATTGCCTTGAATGAGGATTGGCATCTTTCTTATCCATATGTCTTTGAGCATGAAGATCAGGTATTGTTGCTGAGAAAAATAATGTGTATGTTTAGTTATGAATATGATGTATATGAACTTATGTAATGCTCATTTACTTCTTAAACTTATCATTTTAGTTAAATTATGGTTGTCGTAATCTTCATTTTTTTTATTCATTTGTAACTTCACAGATATATATGATGCCTGAGGGCAGTAAAAAAGGAGATCTTCGTCTCTACAGAGCAATTAACTTTCCTTTGCAGTGGAGATTGGAAAAGGTCATCATGAAAAAGCCCCTTGTTGATTCTGTTATCATCAATTCTGATGGGAGGTATTGGCTTTTTGGCTCAGACCATAGTGGATTTGGCACCAAGAAAAATGGGCAGTTAGAGATTTGGTATAGCAGTTCACCTCTTGGTCCTTGGAAACCTCATAAGAAAAATCCCATTTATAACATTGACAAGAGCTTGGGAGCTCGCAATGGAGGCAGGCCATTTAAATACGAAGGAAATCTTTATCGTATGGGTCAGGACTGTGGTGATACATATGGGAGAGGGGTGCGTCTCTTTAAGATTGAAACTCTTAACACTGAAGAATACAAAGAAATTGAAGTACCCTTGGGCTTTGTGGAGCCAAACAAGGGTCGAAATGCTTGGAATGGTGCTAGATACCATCACTTAGATGTACAACATCTGCCGTCTGGTGGCTGGGTTGGTGTTATGGATGGGGATCGTGTTCCTTCAGGAGATTCAATCCGGCGGTTCATGGTTGGTTGTGCTTCTGTTGCAGTTGCGGCTGTACTCATTGTGCTATTAGGGGTGTTACTTGGATTTGTGAATTGTATTGTCCCTCTCAACTGGTTCATCCATAACTCTGAGAAGAAGAATTTACCTATCTTGTCTTGGGAAAGGTCAAATTTGTTCAGTTCAAGAGTAATACGGTTTTGCAGCCGCTTGAACAGAGCCCCAACATTTCTTCGAGGTAAGATAAAACATAATGCTTGTGCTAGGAGGTTTATTCTTGCTATAATATTTGCTGTGGGTGTTGGATTGATGTGCATAGGATTTAGAAATATCTATGGAGGTAACGGTTCAGAAGAACCTTACCCGTTGAAAGGACAATATTCCCAGTTCACAATGTTAACAATGACATATGATGCTCGTCTCTGGAACTTGAAGATGTATGTGAAACATTACTCAAGATGCTCTTCTGTTAGGGAGATAGTTGTGGTGTGGAACAAGGGAGTCCCTCCTAAACTGAGTGATCTAGATTCTGCAGTACCAGTGAGGATCAGGGTAGAGGAAAAGAACTCTCTAAATAATCGGTTCAAGGTCGATCCATTGATCAAGACACGAGCTGTCCTTGAGCTTGATGATGACATTATGATGACATGTGATGATGTTGAGAGAGGTTTCAAGGTGTGGCGTCAGCATCCAGATCGGATTGTTGGATTCTACCCTCGGCTTATTGATGGGAGTCCCTTAAAATATAGGGGAGAAAAATATGCCCGAAAGCATAAAGGGTACAACATGATTCTTACTGGTGCAGCTTTTATTGATTCTAAATTAGCTTTCAATAGGTACTGGGGTGAGGAAGCCAAGCAAGGGAGGGAAATGGTGGACAAGTACTTTAACTGTGAAGATGTGCTTTTAAATTATTTGTATGCAAATGCAAGCTCATCGTCGAGGACTGTTGATTATGTGAAACCAGCTTGGGCAATTGACACTTCAAAGTTTTCTGGTGCAGCAATCAGCAGAAACACAAAAGTGCATTATCGAATGAGAAGCCATTGCCTCATGAAATTTGCAGAGATGTATGGAAGTTTAGCTGATCGAAAATGGGGATTTGACAGTAGGAAAGATGGTTGGGATGTATAGTAGGGAGTTTTTTTCTTATAGCTAGGTCCTTGCCAACTTATGTATTTTTACATCTATGGGGGTATAAAGTGTGAAGTCTATACTTGTACCCCATTGTGAATCTTATTTCAGGGGTTTTTGGAATAGAATGTCTGCAACATGTAATTATGTCCTTGTCATGTTAATTTTTTTAATTTGTGCCTCCTACTCACCGGGGATAATTTGTGATGTTGAGATGAGACAAATGAGCATGATTCAAGAAGGGTGAAACAAATGGAAAATAGGTGTAGAACTGTTTGGAAAGACATTCCATAGAAAATGTAATTCTGATCCTGACATTGATTATAGTTCTGATTGGTTTTTGACTATTTTCTAAGCCTGTGAGGGTAGCTTTCTGTTATTGTTTTATTGACTTCGGTTTCTGGTTTAGGAGGGATGAATATGAACTGTGACAGATGGACATCATGAATGTATATACATGATCTTGCAAGGCAATACCAAATATCACAGAATATTCTGTATCATCGTGATTTATTTCACACTAATTCATATGGAAATTCCAATGAGGCCAAAAAATTTGTGCTTCATACTCTATGCAACTCTGGTCCACCAGTCATTAGTGCAAAACTACTTGGGCTGGGCTTGTGTTACAGTAAGCCCATTTATGAAACATCCACAAAATACTTCATAAATCTCCTAGCAACATTAAGTATGATTCTTTCATGTTTGCTTGAAATTTAAGATCAACTTAAATCGATGTAAGAATAATAAGTCTTATATTCAATTTTAGCTGTTGATTTTCGTACATGAGATAGTTATAATTTATTGGGCTATACTTATTAATTTTTAATAAATTACCATCGTCAAATATACAAAATTCAATTAAGATTTGACGTAAGATTTATTATTCTTACACTGGTGTAAGAAGATCTTGCTCATTATATTATGTATTATAAATTACTGTAGTTAAGTGTAAAAGTAAGTTAATCTTATCTCCATATTTTGTATACCTAATGGTTTTCCTCCTTTATCCTTCTTCATTTTTCATGAATTGTTTATAGGGTTTTTTTTATGTATTTTTAATTTCCATTGCAAATTTTTTTAGCAGTTGTTTTGCATGGTTTGGATTGCCTTGCAAAGATTCCATCTGTTTTTGTTCTTGATTGAAATCGCATGACAAACTTTTCACATAAAAGCATCGTTTATGACCTCTAAAATCTTCAACGTCATATAAATGCCTTGCATTTTCATTTTGATTAAAAAATTGTACTGACAATCTTTCTTTTTTTTTGAAAAGTACTTTTTTTCAAGAGAAATTTGCTCCACCATTCACACTAAGGTTTAGGAGCTAATTTAAAACCATATACATGGTTGTTTTAAATTTAAAAACATGATTACAGAGATGAGTTTCTGTTCTGGCCGGTTCAATTAGCTGGCACAATAAGAATAGCCCACTATTAAGAGACCAAGCCACCTTAGCCCTACCATCTCTGTCATGTCAGCACTGTTGTTGTCTGCGTTAATGCCAGACATCCTGACGTAAGACACCAAAATGTGTTACGTTGGGAGACTCCCTTATCTCTTTGCCTTCTAAGGCACCTAAAATACATCCATGTGGACTCCCTACTCACTTCCCCCTGCATAACAGCTGTTGCATGCATTGCAGCAACTGCAAAGTGCCTTGTCCCTGCAAGGCCAGGCTACATTGTCTCTTCCTCATAATTGTTGACTTCCTTCTCTCCCTCTCCCTCATGAGACTTATAAATACCCCCTTAGTCTGCATTATAGACACATACGATATCACTATTGCATGAGTCATTTATCCTGTTAACTTGGAGAGCAATTGTAGCCACTTACACCACCCTCATTGATATACGCTGCATTTAGGACCCCTTGTTCAATCTTAATTCATACTATTACTGTCTAAGGCATGCCTATATTGATCACTTCACCCCTTGGGGTTACATATGTGGCTCTCATACCACACCAACAGTTCATTGGCGTCGTCTGTGGGAAAAGGTAAACTCCAATTCCCATCAATACTTAAACAAGTTGAATACTTACTAACTTTAGTGTCGGATTGCCTTGCAGATACCTCCACTGAGTCTCAAATTGCACGAAACATCCATTCCAGCCCATGCATCTCGCAAAGTATCTTACCAACCAACCCAGCATCTCAAGTAGTGTACCCATCAAAGCTCATACTTAAATGTTGCTGATTCAATCACGTGTGATCTAGCCTAACAGTTATTAAACAGATCAATATTAATTTTTGAAGTTTTTTTACTTTGAAACCTATACAAATTTTTTGTCAATCTCCCCACTATTATAATGATTCACACCTAGTACCATGCACATCCATGGAAATTATAAATTTCATATCCATATCTCACCTAGTTTAGAAAGTTTATCCCTCCATGCCATCATATAACTATGGGTTTTACTCTCAAATCATCTTCAATTAGTATAGTTCTATCTTGTATACTTGTCTCTTACATATACTGATTTGAGTGTCAAAATATCATTTCCTTCCGACCATTAAAACATCTACCACCTGACATCTATCAATAGAAGCTCAAGCTCTGCATCTCATGCAAGTACAACTTGATTTAACTAAACACCTCTAAACAGATACAAAATAAAAAATATTAAGAAAATCAATACTAAAGAATAACAGGGTAAGCCAAAATAGAAGAAGAAATATTTTCCTCTCTCAAAGTGGAATAAATTTTAAGTGCATCTGTTACACCTAGATTCAGTGCATCCCACCAATGAAAGTATTACAAGAGAGTGAGATAATTTAACACAGAGAGAAATATTTATTCTTCAAAGTGATATATGTAATTATTTCAACCGATCAAACAAGAAAAAGTAATTATGATATTAAAACCAAAACTGATTAAATGTCCCAGTTTCAGTCAAAACGGTCAAACCATTAAATCCAATGTTCGGACTTGTGCTCGAATTGGCAAAGAGTCATTTGGATTATTATTCTATCCATTCCCAATGGGATAGTGACACAAAGCATGAAATTGCACAAAAGTTTATAATGATATGCATTATTTTATGCAACATCTTCCTATGACAGGTGTTTCCATTCCTGATTTGGGATTAATAGCCACAAAGAGAGAGAGAAAGAAGGCATGAGAAAATGAATGATCTCCATCATCATTCCTTCCCCATGTGATGTGCCACCTCTTCTATACTGCCCCCTCTTCCAATCTCCCATACCTTAACTCTCTCTCCCTCTTTCTAGGGATAGGGTTTTCAAAAATTGAAACAATCCTCAAGCTCATACCTTTCTCTTTGTAATCACATAATCCCTTCACCCTTTTCATTTTGATCCAAAAGGGGTTCCTGGGGTTCGTCTCTCTTTGACAGTTCCAAGCTCTCCTCTCCAGGCTACTAGAGAGAGAAAGTTGGTTTCTAGAGAGAGAAAGTGATGGGAACGTAGGTTGGAGCTTTTTTGTTTTTTGGTTCTCGGCAACCGAGCAATGTTGGAAATGGAGAAGGATTTTGATTCCAAGCTGAAGATTCAGGGGAATTCTTCCTCTTCCAATGGTGGTGGGAATGTCCAGAGATCAAAGAGCTTTGCTTTTAGAGCTCCACAGGAGAATTACACCATTCAGGACTTTGAATTGGGCAAGATCTATGGTGTTGGCTCTTATTCTAAGGTCTGACGCATAGACTTGTGTGGCTTTTTTTTTTTTTTTTGTCTTGTGGGTTGGTGTTGGTTTGCTTTCATTTTTATGATTTTTGTTTTTGTGCAATGATTAGATGAATGCATGAATCCTGTGGATGATGTTGGCTTTGTAGTTTTGTTACATAATACATGTAATCTGCTCAGTTTTGTTGAGTGTTGGTTGCCAGTTGGATAATGATTGATGGTTATTATGCAGTAGAGATCAAGGCGCGATGTTGACATCCTTGTTTCTATGTATTGTATGAAACTTCATTTGGTACCTTTTATCTGGGAATTTTGATTTGCAAATGGTTGCTAAAAACCTGTTACTTTATTGCTCCATTCATATTACAGAATAGGAAAGCATCCTGCATTTTGTGAGCTAAATTGTTTCTCGATAGCTCTTCTGGTATTGTGAACTATATTCAAAGACTTAGATTGGGATATCAAACCATTTTTCTAAACAAATGGATCCTCAAGATTACTTTTGAAGTAATTAATGAGAATTACGTAAGTTTCAGAGCTGGAAGTAAAGCAGATTGTAGGCTGTAGAAAATGAAGCAAACTGAAGGAATGATTGGTTTACCCAGTTGGAATTGAGATGAAACTACTAGTGCATGAAATCAGCAGCATCATATTCTTCCTTTGGATCTACTATTTGATGCCCTATTTCTTTGTACAAAAGGTTCTCTTTTTCTAATTTGTGAGGAATTTCAACCTGAATGTCGCTTGCCATTAGACATTAGTGTGTACATATTTAAACTGCATTGCTATTGAACGTGAGCATGTGAAATCTTACTGAAAACATTTTTTTTATGGTTTACTTTTGTTATAAGGTATGTGAACACGGTCCCAGCTACATGTTTTATTTAGTAAACACATTTTTTTGCTTTTATTTCTCAACTGATTTTTTCCCCTTTCTATTATTGGCTTCTGTGGTGTTTAGAATGCATCAACAGTGCTAGTTGTTTGGATAAAAAGATTATTTTATTTTTTCAATCCTTTGGGACACTTCATATTCTAGAGTTTGGTACATGATTATGTACACAGAATATAGGGTTTCCAATTTTTTTCAAGGTCAAAGGAAGGTGTTGTGAACTTCTTGGTAGATATGATCATCTCCTACTCCTCTGCCCTTCTTGCTCTTGCACTTGCACTCTCTCTGTCTTCTGTCTTGCTTGATTTATGATTTGTGTTCCTTCTTTGCCCAACTTTTTTGGTAGCTGTTCTAAAAAATTTCTGATATTTGAAGGAAATATCTCGTAATTTGTACCATTTCCGCACATTCTTTTTCTTTTATTTTGGAGTAATCGTTGAATATCTTTCTTATTATCTTTAAAGGTTGTGAGGGCAAAGAAGAAGGACACAGGAACTGTGTATGCATTGAAGATCATGGACAAAAAATTTATTACTAAAGAGAACAAAACAGCTTATGTGAAGTTGGAACGCATAGTGCTTGATCAATTGGACCATCCTGGCATTGTGCGGCTATATTTCACATTTCAAGACACATTTTCTCTGTGTAAGTATTCCTGGGTGTATTTTCTCTTTATACTCAGTTTTCCCCTGGCTTACTCTTCTCTGTGATTTCTTCTCAGTCTTCTTTTTGCTCCCTTTGTTTGTCAAGTTGGATTATATTATTTGACGTTATCTTTTTTGCCCCTTCTGTTCCTTTTACATTGGAGAAGACATGGCACTTGAATCCTGTGAAGGTGGAGAACTTTTTGATCAAATAACCAGGGTAAGCTAACATAAAACTTCATGGCACTTGTTCCATGTTCTGGAGTATAAGTAATTTGTTTGAATTTTTTTTTTATAATTTGAAATTGCCAATAGGCCAATGCAGTTAGGAAAGCCTTTTATATTTGTGATCCTATCAAGACTTTTTTTAACAATTTGTTGGCCTCTTTGTAAGAAAATATTTGTACTTTTATTATTTTTTGGAATATGGAAGTTGTTAATATGTAAGCTAGTATCTTTCTGCATGCTCGTTATTTCATGATATCTACTAGCAAGCTTTCTGATTTCCTGAGTGCAGAAAGCTCGTCTAACCGAGGACGAGGCACGATTCTATGCGGCTGAAGTTGTGGATGCTTTAGAATACATTCATAATTTGGGAGTGATACATCGTGATATTAAGGTAGTTCTGTGGCATGACTATACTGCATCATTGCCATATATGGACATGTGTGAATACTGAATTTCTTCAATTACAGCCAGAGAACTTATTACTTACGGCTGAAGGACATATTAAAATAGCTGATTTTGGGAGTGTGAAGCCTATGCAGGATAGCCAAATTACTGTCCTTCCAAATGCTGCATCAGGTAAAATAGGAGCAATGTGGAAGCTGATTTGTTAAGATTATTATTTTTCTTTTATATTGGCTTTATTTATTTATTTTTCCTTTAAATTTCTAGATGACAAAGCATGCACGTTTGTCGGAACTGCTGCTTATGTCCCTCCAGAGGTTCTTAATTCCTCTCCAGCAACTTTTGGGTAGGGATTAAATTATCCACTAATATAGATGAATTTTATGTTGTGATAATATTATTTCTTCTGCCAGTTTTCTGTGTATGTACATTATTTTTTAATTTAGTCGTGATTTTTTCTAAATCAAGGATTGTTTTTGACAGTTCAGATGTCAAGTTTGTTTGTGCATTGAGTTTCATTATTGCTTTAGTTTCATGCTAGGTCCCCATATAAAAACCTTTTTTTAATTTTTAATTTTTTTTTTCTTCCCTCAATGTCTTACCACAGAAATGATCTCTGGGCTCTTGGCTGCACGTTATACCAAATGCTTTCTGGAACTTCCCCTTTTAAAGATGCAAGTGAATGGCTTATTTTCCAAAGAATTATAGCAAGAGAAATTCGATTTCCAGACTACTTTTCTGAGGAAGCAAGAGACCTAATTGACCGGCTATTGGTTAGTATTTTATGAACTTGAACTTTGAAATCCCAGCATCCTTTTTTTTTGGGGTGGTGGTGGTGGTTGGGTTTGATGTAGCACGTGTGAGCGTGATGTGCCTTTGCAATAACATTCATAATAATAATAGAAAGTGAGAAGGAATAGGTGTAGAGTATTTGATAATAGATACGTAGGTTTGTAAAGACATGTAAGTAAATATTATTATACAGACCAGTTGACTTTTTTTTTTTCAATAAAAAAGATATTACATGAAAATTGAAAATACTTTATCAAACTTATCAAGATATGATAATATGGCATTATAGTAGATAAACTTGAAAAAATAATACATTAATAATACTATAATTCATCTTTTAATGATACATGTAATATTTTTTTAGCATGCTTTGGGTTATTAATTTGTGAAGTTTTAATCTTAATTAACAATGCAATGATGGTGCAGGATTTGGACCCTAGCAGGAGACCAGGTGCAGGACCTGATGGTTACGCTGCTTTGAAAAGGCATCTGTTTTTCAAGGGAGTTGATTGGGATCACTTAAGGGCACAAATTCCTCCAAAACTTGCTCTGGAGCCTGGGGTATGACTTCCATTACTTTGCTCTTTGAAATGTTATTTGGAGAATAAGAAAAGGGACCTTCATTTCTTGTCCACTTTATTTGTTGATGAGCATAAAGTTTCTAAGTGTCATATAATTTTCACTTTTAGACTCAGTCGCCTGCGGCTGATGATGTTCATGAGTCATCATGGAGTCCTTCTCACACTGGGGATGGTTCTGCAGCTTCTGCTAGACAACCTGATGGTGCTACATCATCTTCCGAAGGAACTGGTCACATAACCAGGCTAGCTTCGATTGATTCATTCGATTCAAAATGGTATGCACAAAACTTCCTGTTTGTTTGTGTTTTTGCATCCAATCATATTCTAGTGACAAGAGATTGGTATATGTATTTACTTCAAGAGTAATGATTTAATAGAGACCATTAATCCTCTGTCAATCATGTCAAATGTTAGTATAATTCGCAAATAAAAGAGAACGTTCAAAATATGTGTCCAAAGGAGATTTTTTGTTGCAATATCCTCTGCATTTTAATTATTTTACCAAACGATATATGTTATCCTTAATTTATGTTTTTCACATCAAAGAATTTTTTTAAGACACTAAACGTGGCAAAACTATTTTGGTTTTAGTATTCAGTTGCTTTGCATATCCTAAAGGCATAGAATAACAGCGTGTTGAGGCCTCAAATTATGTTAATTTACATACATGTTCAGTTATATATTACCTTATGAATATGACCTCTCCCTATTGGTATTTAGGTAAAAGAATTGCATCACCCATCCCATCAATCCCACTTTTTTCAGAGATATAACTGTTCATTCCTAAATGCAAACAGAGAAATAACGGAAAAGTTAAAAGAATATTTAGAAAAACTTAAAATGAAAAAAAGGCTGTTCTTATGTGCTCATCTTACAGGCAACAATTTTTGGATCCTGGGGAATCTGTTCTTATGATTTCTATGGTGAAGAAATTACAAAAACTAACAAGCAAGAAGGTGCAGCTCATCCTTACCAACAAACCAAAGTTGATCTATGTGGACCCTTCAAAGCTAATTGTGAAGGGAAATATAATATGGTCTGACAATCCAAATGATTTAAGCATCCAAGTGGCTAGTCCATCACATTTCAAGATTTGCACAGTAAGCCTTTCTCTTCTCTATAGGATCTTGTTATACAATTTGCACTAAACAGTATGTGTGAGGGTTTAAAGTCAGACTTCAAGGTGGCCATGCTAATAGTTGAAACATTTAAATTCCTATCTAATGTAATTTCTGAAAGGGGTATTATTTAAATTCTTTTCATACCATGTTTAAGAAAGAAGTGATTTTCCCTAACTTGTAATATATTCTACGTCTTAATTCTATTCTATTATGTTTTGGGACTTTCCTTCACATTTTTTTTTTTATTTAATGTATTGATGCAGCCTAAAAAGGTAATGTCGTTTGAGGATGCAAAGCAAAGAGCATGGCAGTGGAAAAAGGCTATTGAAGGACTTCAAAACCGGTGAATTCATTCTGGTTTTGAGAACATATTCTTTTAGATATCTTCATATTGTTCAGCGAGAAGGGATAAAACACTTAACTGCCCAACAATCAGATTATTCATTAAAAGAATGAATTAGTAGATTTAGCTTTGCTGAACCTGGTTCAAGCTAATTCCTCACCACAGCTTAATTTTGTGATTAGTTTTCCATCCTCTTTCATGCTTCGATGGGATGATAAAAATGTGGAAGTTCTAATTGTAGCTATGTTGGGGGTTGGAACCAATACTTTGTAAGAAAATTTTCCGTTTATTTTTTTATAATATATATTATATATTATGAGTTGGAAGATGTTAACATTTTGGTCATCACAATGTATGAATCATTGAATTGCTCTATTTATTGTTTATTCTTCAGCCTATGGTCAGACGGCGAAGCCATCCTGAACTTTCAAAAGGGATGATTTGGCCCTTGGCAATCTGTAAATAATATATTATAGGTGTAACCTGGCAATTCCATGTATTTTAGGCGTTTAATAGAAATGTCTATTGCTTCTTCACATGTAAGTCAGACTGCACTTGGTAAGCTCTACTTTGTTATTATTAGTACTTCTGCAAAACTTCAATCACTATTTGCTATATCAAGATAGTGTTTTCCAGAATCTAGATTATGAGAACTGCCCAGGGACCTGGGTGCAATGAAGAAAGACACTCTGTTGTACTTGTAACCTATCAAAATTTGCTTGGCGTGTGGTCTTGATTGCAGATAAAGCAAGGACTTCATATACATCGCCATTGATATTTATACATTCTGATTATATGGTAATGATCTTCCTCGAGAGGACAATATTTGCAAAGCACCGAAAGTGAATCCTAATAGACATTTATTCAGTTTACAAACTTAACGACAATTCCAATTCGATTCACGGGAAGGCATCTATGACATTTCACGGGAAGTAGACCAATAGGCCCAAAGAGTTAATGCTGGAAAGCCAAAAATGCCACCGCCATGGTAGCTAGGGGAACAGATATATTGTCATCTACTACCTCAGTAATGGGAAGGGACTCCACCACTGTAGCCACTAGAGAAACAAAAGCAACTCTGGGTACCGTGCTCACCCAATCCAACTGCACGAGTCCTAAATTTGAATAGTAGTAAAGCATCCTACATGCAATTATATCAAAAGCATCAGTATCAAAATCTACTTGTGACAATATATCTTTCACATTTTATATAGTGGTTTATATCCTGCTATATTGAGAGGAATAGGATCAGAGTAGATCTATCTTTTTAAGTCAATTTCCTTATGAGAAAAAGAAAAATTTCTGTTAAAAAGCTGTATAAGTTTGTAACACACCCAATTGAAACCAAGAAACCAAACACAAGCATGGATATGCTACCAGCCCAACTCTTTTTTTGATTATAAGGAATCTTCATTGATCCATATCTTCTACCAATGATATCAGCTACACCTGCAGACCATCAAGTTCAATGTTGCTTAGACAAAATGGAAAAGCCATCAATTATATTAGAATGCAAAAGGAATGTGTATTACCATCCCCACCAGACATCATTGCCAAGGCAACTACCCCAATTGGGGACTCACGCCAAAACACAAGAGCACATAACATCAGTATCACAACATAATACAGGGGACCTTTTAGCAATTCTCTGCACGTATGAACAGTCAATGCTTAGAACATATTCAATGTTTTTAAACTCCAATAACGAAATAACACCAAAGCACGTGACATAAATGAATGAAAGACATTTACCGTGGATCTCCTTTTCTAGTCACAGATTTGATCAGTCCTTCATCAGAAGCCAATGAGAGACCATTCACTAAAAGCCTCAAGCAATTCATAAGAGGAACAAAAGCAGCAAAGTACCGAGCCTTAGTGGTGTTACTATCCTAGCATTAACATCAAAACATTCAAACAAAGCAATCAATGCAGAGCAAAAGACTTGGACCTTCACCATAAACACAACAGATGTGTTGGAAATCGATAATCACACAAAATTAAGAAAACAGAAAAGAGAAAAGAGTAGAGAGATTCAGATGATTTATCCTGATTCACCCAATATAGTCTAAGTCCAGCTTGTCTGTACTATATTCAGCTCACTGCCACTCATTTACAAGTCACCCAGTTTTCAAGGAAAATATAAATAGTATTAAAAAAATTCTAACAATATCTATTCATGAGCCCAAGCCCAAACTGCTAAGAAAATTACAATAAAACAGAAGCCCACAACAGTACATAACCTCTACGGACCTGGGAGCCCAGACGGCTGGGGCGGCTCTCCCGGACCCTGCCCGCTCACCTGGGAGCGGAACCCAGTTGCCTTCATGCTGACCTCGACTACAAAGACTCTCGTCATGCGAAGAATGAGTCATACCCAACAAGATGGAATATTGAATACGTAAAAATGAAAACTTGATCTGAAACACAGAAATTGGGGTACCTGAAAATCGGCCAAGAAACCAGAAAAAGCAAGCCAGACAATATATGGACCAGTTTTCTGCTCAGATCCTGCCATCCATTTTCATAAATTAATCCAAAAAGTTTTCCATTTATAAACAAAACCCAAAATTTAAATTGAAACTAACAAGTTAATGAATGGATTCGTTTTTGTATATGCATGCAATGCAAACACTGAAGTAGCCTGTACCTGGTTGAGGAAATTCCTCCGGGTGAGATCATCAAAAGCAAAAACGAGGGCATACCCTCCACCAAGAACAGCCACGGTGGCTCCGGCATCGTGAAGCAGATACTCCGCGGTGGCGGTGGCGGTGGCAGGGATAACAAACCTGGACACCCTTTGACCCAAAAGAACAGGTGGTACAAGAGGAGAACACAAAAACCGGACAGCGTAGTTTGTTGTCGGGTTGAGGCCGAGTTTCCACGGAGGGAGAGTGGTGGAGATTGGTGATGGATGGCGGCGCACGGCGGAGATTGGAAGGAGGAGAGAGGATAAGAGCGCCATGACTCCAAGAGAAGACAGGACAAGCAAAGCAAGAAAACAAGACCAATTATTTAAGGATAATTATCTAATCTATGTGCATTAAGTATACCCCACTTTAATTTAATTTAAATTAACTTAATTTAACGAAATTTAAGTATAGAACACACGTTAATTATACCTCCAGTTCAAGCAAACACTGAAATATCTCACGGGTCCTCTAATGTGAAAAAGTGATTTTGTGATCATGTTATTTGATCACAATCACTTATTAATGATAAGATAAGAAAGAAAAAAATATATTATTTTTAAATAAATAATTATAATCAAATAACATGATTATATAATTATTTTTAGACGTAAGAAAATCCAATCACATTTCTCACATAATGATATAAGTAGTACTAGTCCCTTGAGAGTGAAAGATGTAACTAACAAGTAACAATACCAATTAGATTACTGGACTTCCGTGACAACAGCCTCTTAAATACTGATCAGTAGCTGTCTTCCCATTGGGACCACAACTCAATAAGATACAGTCTGTGCATTTTGTCTTTGCAACATCATCAATAAATTGCCTTCAACCATAATAAAAAGTAGGATTTACTTTCTATCACTTTTTAACAAGATCATAAGAATTTTTCTACACACATAATATTTCGTGAAATTCACGTGTTTAAAAAATATATATATATATATATATTGGCACGCAAAACGAATCTCTATAATATAACACAATCATTTTTCCTACGAAATAACTCTTATAAAACCCTTAAAAGTATAACTAAGCTTTTAAACAGCCTAAACTTACTGTATCATTATGTAGTTTACTATCATTCTGGAAGTTATGTTTAGGTCCCTATGCCATCTAACTAATTAACAACTCCTTCTGTCATAAAGCCATAGAAGCGATTCCCCATATATATTCACAATTCACTGTCTTTCTGTCCTCACCATAATCCCTTACCTTATTTTTGTTCAAAATAAACATTGGCCTTACCAGTATTTGACATGTGACAGTCCCTATTAGTATTTGTGAGACTTAATAAATTTTATTCAATTAATATTTGAAAACCATATATTATATAAGTTTTTTTTTTTCTTCTCCAAATTGCATCAAAAGCATCGTTCTGCAGTAATCCAACTTTTCCTGTTTACATTTCCAAAAGCAAAGGCTGCAAGGATTCAACAGCTTTCATGCTTCCTAGGAGGCTAGGACACTGTATAATGAATGGGAGGGAGGTAATCTAGAAAATAAATATTCTCATGACCTAACCAGAAACGTAGTAGTAATGTGGAACAGTGGTAAATGGGAATCTGGGTTTTTACCACAAAGAGAGACCGCTATGTTTCAACTTGCAAGTACTTTGTCTGCTGCTTTCAGTCCACTGGTCCTACCAATCCTAGTTATGTCGTCTAGCACTATGTACTTTTATAGCTATATTCTGGTGAGCTATAAATTGTATGTACTTTTCGTCTAGTAGCATTTTTTTTTTTTAAAACATTTTTTTAAAAATTTTAACTAAACAAACACTCTCATATTATATTCTTTTCTTCGTACAATCTTTTAGTATAGAAATGAATGCACGATATGCACCTTATTGTTCTCTAACCAAATTTTACTTTATTATTTTAGAATTTTATTATTCTCATGTTATATTAAAAAAAATTCAAAATTTTCTCACGCACACACATAAAATAGTTACAGTTTTTAAAATTTATTTTTATAAAATAAGTCATATCAAACGAGTTTTTTTATTTTTTTTTCTGAAAATTAAAAAAATTATTTTTTTAAACAGTAACCAAACAAAGTCTATATTACTTGCAGTTTTTAAGAAAATTAATGAGGATATTTTTGTGTAATTTTGTTTGGGCTTTTGAAAAGGACATATACATTCATTTGAATTAAAAATGGAATAGGTTATAGACTTATAGTTACAACCAGTGTTTTAAAACCCGGGTCTCGGTGATTTGGTAGGTTCTTCGGTCTGAGCGGGTAGTTGGATCGCTTCTGCAGTCAACTCGGATTGGACCGGTTGACCCGGTCGAAACCCGACGACCCGATTGACTCGGGTTAGACTGGTTATTTCTTTTTTTTCGGTAAATTTTTTTTGTTGATAAGAACTCTTGAATTATATTATATTCATATTTTATGATGAATATGATTAAAAGTAAGGTGAAAATAATAAGGTATTTTAGATTAGTGCAGTTTATCTTTCAAAAAAAAAAAAAAGATTAGTGCAGTTCGTTTATGTAATTTAGTTGCATCTTATAATGATCTCATGAAATTAAGTGGTGATAAACAATGATGGTCTTATGATCTCATCTCAACGGTGGACACTTTTTTCTTAGTGTATATTTCATACATACTATTTGTTATCATGATAACGGTGACACTTTTTTCTTAGTGTATATTTCATGCATACTATTTGTTATCACGATTTAATTTATCCCTATCATGTCAAGCACAAAATGTGCATTTAACTAATATTGCAATTTTAATCTAATATTAGGATATGGTCTAGAGCTAAAAGCTTATAAGTATGTAATATTTGCTATCATTGAAAATCAATTTATTTTTTGAAGCTCATTGATAGTTTTCTTATATGAATTTTTTATTAATATAAGTAATATTTTTATATTTTTAATATATGAACAGTAAATCCGGTTCAACTCGGTTGAATCAGTGACTTAGTAACCCAGTACATCGACCGATTCGATGAACGATCCGAGTTTTTAAACACTGGTTACAACTATTTTTTCTTATTATTTCTTATTATTAATTATGTTATCGTTAGATCAAGATCAAATCAACAATTATAAAATAATATCAAGTGAGAACCATTATTTTAATTTTGTTCCAAAAAGATGATAATAAGAGATATATAGTAAAATAATAATTATAATAATAAATATATTAGTAAATATACTAGTAAAAAAAATATGTGTAATATATATTTATATATTAGTGATTGTTGCTCACTTGACAGTGAAAGGACTTGTTCGCTTGTGAATGGGCCTATATTGGTCCGAACGTGAAGGCACTGTTGTGGGCGAATGTTGTGGGCGAATCATAATTGGGTTATGTATAATTTTTTTTCTTCTCGTAAACTGGGTTATGTATAAAGTTAGGGATTTACTAGTGTCCTGTAACAGTAAACACACAGAAGTTGTATGAATAAAAATTTCAACCTAATCTCATTCAATAAATTTTTAAACCAACTAAAAAGTAATCAAATTTCTAAAGTAAACCTTTGAAACGAGTTATTTATTTTATTTAATTTTTTAATATTTGAAACGAGTTATTGAGTCACTAATCCAAATTAGCTATTAAATATAAAAGATTATATCATAACATAAAGCACAAAAAAAATAACAATGTTGTTGTGGTCTATGATGTACGGACACTGACACGGGACACGACATGACACGACACGCCGACACATTAATTCTAAAAAATGGCATATTTCGACACGTTGGGATACGTTTTGATATTAAATAATATTTTTAATATATATAATATAATTTATATTTAATACATATAACAGTTTATAATAAGTCATATAACCAATCAAATATTCAAATTTTATAACATAAATATAAAAAATAATAATTTTTCGTATTTGTTAATTTTTCATGTCAAATTTTATAACAGAAAAAATTGATTTATAAATAAATTTTTTGATTTTTAGTTAATAAAATAAAATTATGACTAAAAAAAAACCGTGTCCGAGCATTGACCACGTGTCGGAAAAAGTTGACTGTGTGTCGGAGTATGTCGAAGAGTTGATTACGTGTCCTAAAATGTTGACCGCGTGTCGAACACGTGTCCAACACGCATTATTAAAAAAAAAAGTACGAGTCTGTGCTTTGTAGGTTGTGGTTGTATGATTATATAATAATGATAATACAAATATTTTTTTCCACAAATTACTGGTAGAGTACAAAATAGGAATAACAATACATATATAAGGGATATTATAATTATAAATTAGGATGAAAATTAGTAAGGTGGCCCACCAGGAGCCTATGACTTAGTTTATATCAGGTCAGATTTGACCTATCATATCTAATATAATAAAATATGCTTGGGATTTTAAAAAAGCCTTTTTAAAAAATAGCCCATAAGCTTTCTTTTACAATGTCAGCCTATAAGATTTTGAATAATAAAATAATATTATTTTAATTATTTTTTAATTATTAAATACTTAATAGATAAGCAGACTAATAAGTCTATACAAACTTTTTATTTTTTTTAATATAGGCTAGATTAGACTTATAATTTGAGTTTATATAAGACTAACAGATTATGGTAGACCAAAAGTATTTATACAAATTTAACCTATTTAGACCAAAGACTCGCAGATCCCAATTCATTTACACTCCTAAATTTATAAAGGTATAAAATCATTGTATGGATTCGGCAGTGCCTTATTATAAGAAAGTAATTACTATTTACTAGTAGCTTGGTTGTTTAGGATTTTTTAGTATTTATAATAAATTTGGATTATGGTCTTTTAATATTTTTATTAAATCCGGATTTAATTAATTGCTGTTTAAAATATTATTGAATACTTTCTATTCTCATTTTTCAGTATTAGTTTTATTTATTTTTTTCTCCATATGTCCGTAAGTCTTGATTTCCTCTATCCCCATACTATTTTATTTTTTTCCTCTGTTGTCTCAATTATTTTTTCTTCTATTTTTTTTTTTACAATCTACTCACTCATTTCCTAATTTTAATTTGAATAATATTTATCAATTACTTAATGAGTAATATTATTATAGATTCATATCAAAATCTGAATGTATCAGGTAAAGTAACATATAAAATTAATTATGTTTTTCTTTAAATATTCTATTAACAATGGGAAAAATTACATTAGATGAACGCAAATGCAAAAAATAAAAAAAAAATCAATAAAATAATTTTATTGAGTAGAGATTCAACATAATAATTTAATATAAATTAATTATGCATGAAATTAAATGTATAATTGATGCATAATTCAATTATTAAATTAATACTTTCAATCTCAAAAAAATTGTTCTAATGCATTATTCATTTATCTATATTCAAAAATATATATATACTTATTTTTCATTATCTTTATATTAAAAACTATTTCTTAAAGACAACCATTTGTCTTCACTATTAACTCAACGAAAATATAATTATTTTTATACATTAAAAGTGAGTTTGGTATTTTTTTTAAAATAAACATGAAAAAATAGATATGAATTTTTCGTATATAAATTTACATTAAGTTCATCCTTAAATTTGTTTTCAACCTTGATTAAATGCAATTAATTATGAAAAAAAAAGAACGAGCATGGAAAAAAATATAAATTTAGAAACATAATTCTTTGGGAACAAATAGAATTTATTTAATTAAAACCATAATTTCATTAGCTTTATAAATGGCACCCTATGAGCAATCACATGGTTGATTGACTATTTTACTCTCATTTTGATAAATTTTTTTTATCACTTTACGTTTCTTTTATAATTTATATACCAATTTGTCTAAAGTTTGATCCATATTTAAATGACTTACTAAGAACTAGGGTTTGGTCAAAATTTGATAAATTGATATATAATTTGAAAAAATAGACAAAATAATAAATTAATTTTAAAAGAATGGTAAAATACGGCATAATCATATACATAACATATTACTCTTCATTAATTGGAGGGACGCAACTTGCCAACAAAGAAAATAAAATTGCTTGAGAACACAACGCTTCCGGCAAAGGGTTGCGCCTTTTCCCCCTTAGACACTTTCACTCTTTTTCAACTTATAAAAGAAGGAACACTATTTTACAAACCCACCATTCCACAAGACAAGTATCATCATTATTCTTCATATATTCATTCATTCATACGTAGTAGATCATATGGCAAGGAAGCGACAATCTATTGGACATGTTCCTCCACAAGAGAACTCTGACATGTTCTCTTTGTTACCAGAATCTTTGCTTCTTATCATTGTTTCTTTCCTTCCCTTCAAAGAAGCAGCAAGGACATGCATACTCTCTAAACGGTGGTTGGAGTTATGGAAATCAACAAAGAACGTAGAGTTCAACGAACTCTTCTTTGTGAATCTTGACGAATCTGATTCAGTCAAAGAATCACAAAGAAGGGTTTTTCTCAACTTTGTCACACGCTGGATTCAAGACTACAAAGATCATGTCGTGGACAAGTTTTCTCTCAAGGTTTCCCTCCCTGAAAACTGTCGTGGCACCATAGAACGTTGCGTCGCTTTTGCAACACAGCGTGGTGTGAAAGAGTTAGGGCTTGATTTTTCTGATCCAAAATGGGAGGAGAATAACTTTGATGATCGTGATGCTTTGTTTCAATTGCCAAAACATGTTTATAGGCATGGATCGCTTGAGAGTTTGAAGTTGTATTCATGCAGTTTCGTTATGCCTGATTTGCTCAACTTTCGGACACTTAAGGATGTTTCTTTGGGTTGGATTGAAGTGAACATCTCCACTCTGAAGACTTTGTTATCCACTTGTAAGATGATTGAAAACTTGAGTCTGAAGAAATGCTGGAATCTCGCAAACTTTGATTTGGGAGAGGAAAAACTTGGGTTAAGAAGGTTGGTCATTGATAAGTGCCATTTTGAAAATGATTATTTCATATTCAAGGCACCAAATCTTAAGTTCTTGAAGTATTCTGGGGTAGTGGGGATTTTCGATATAGATTTGTGCCCACATGTCATGGAAGAGGCAGATATTGACTTTGCCCTTGAATCAGATTTAGATGAATCTGGCAATGATCTTGGGAATGATCTTTGCAAAGTACTGGTTGATCTGTACCCTGTTAGGGTTCTAACTGTTTGCAGTTTCGTACTTCAGGTACTCTCTTATTCTTTTTATTTTCCCCCCTCATTATGTAATTTTATGATGATAAACATTCTGTTATTTTAATTATGTGTTACAGCAACATCATTTTATCGTTATGGTAGTTGCTAATTATTAATTTCTCAAGACATTGATTAAATTGTGAATTAAACACTCTTCCGTATTTGGTGCACTGCAAATAGAGTTATATAATATATATCGTTGAGATAGTATTTAGACTAATAGCCCTATTATCTTTCTGAATGCATCTTTTTTATTACAAAAATTTTCTATGGCTAGAAACTATTGGCTTCTTTCTTCTAAACGTTTTGTGTTTTTTATGCATGAAAGGCTGTTCATTCTGGTGATGAACCGTTGCGGGTACAATGTGATTTGAACGTAAGGCATTTGATAATGAAGACTCAAATGCATCCCTATGAATTGTGCGGATTCATGTTCCTTCTTAATAGTTGTCCTATGTTGGAGACACTCACATTGGAGATTGGCCTACGGAATATATTTTCAGTGAGTAAATTACTTAGGATTTTGTATATATTTTATGTTTCTCTCTCTCTCTCTCTCTCTCTCAAAGGTTATGCATATTAAATCTTTGAATGGAGCTTCTGTTAACATGTTTTTATATGCCTTGTTTATATTACAGGAGTATACACTTCCCTATCCTATCAACCTTGAGAAATTCTGGGAACATCCTAGAGTACCTTCTAAATGCTTGAAAAGAACTCTCAAGGTGGTGGAGGTGAATGGATTTAGAGGTTCTATGAATGAATTTCTGGCTTGTGCCTATTTTATCCAAGCTGGTACAGTTTTGGAAAAGATTAATATCAATGTACTGAAGGAAGAGGATGCTAATTCTGATAAAAAAGTGGAAATGCTCCTTGGAATGGCAAGATTCTTAGAGAAAGTTCCAAAGGCTTCAAGGAATTTGCAGATATCAATTGCATGATATTATGAGAATGTTTATTATTTGCCGGCAATTATGTTTGTGCCTTGTTTCTTAAAAAATTAGACTTTATTTGTATCGTTTGTTTTAGAGATGTAGTAATATTCAATAAAGCCTTTTGCTTTTAAAAACAGAAGGATAATGATTGAACTGCACATTTGTTAATATATCTTTTCAACTGAACTTTGGTATTAATTAAGGATTTTATTAATCCACCGGTAGTGGATCGATTCGACGGTGGGAGTTTCGAATAATTTTTCTTTCAAAATTTTAATTATGTGATTATTGTTAGAGGGGTGTTTATCAATTGATCTAAACTGATTCAAACTGCGATGATCGTACCAAAAATCGAATTACTCGAAAATCGAAAAAAAACTCGCAAAATTTAATTGTATTGAATCGATTTTTAGATTGGTTGGTGAAAACCGATCCAATCCAAATCGATCTAATGATTCCTCAATCTTACCATATATTTACTTGGGCCTTTCTAAATTTGGGTTATTTCGTATCCTAGGTAGCTATTATAAATTTTTTTGTCGGAGGTAAAAGATGATAATTCAATTTTTTGTTGTATAATGCTTCTAGGTTGCCCACTTAGGCCAAAAATCATATAATAAAATTCTAAATCCAAGATCCATTAATCCATCATATTGGAGAAAATGGGTTGTGCTTGATCTATGTTATGCTTTTTTTATAAAGATACATAATATATTTTTGTTATATGGATTATTGTTGTATCTCAGGCAATTATATTATAAATTTTTTGTTGGAGGTAAAAGATGGTAATTCAACTTTTTGTTGTACAATGCTTCTAGATTGCATAATAATCATCATACAAACTTTACAATGCTGATACGTACAAAAGATATGTTATTTGCACAATAATAATCATACAAATCTTTGCTTCCAAATCGAATAAAATTGGATTGGATTGGATAGAATTTGAAAAAAAATCAAAACTGAATGGAAGATTACATGATTAAACCGAAGGGATTGGATCAGATTATTTTTGCTTCCAAAATTGATCATATTCAGACCGCAAACACCTCTAATTGTTAGCAATAAACTAAGGGATTAGTGTTTGTACATAGAATTGTGTCATGTTAGTTAAAATTACTGTATTTTATGGTGAGAGAAACAACTATATATTAGAAATTGTAGTGGGAAAAGGTGACAGCTTTTTTTTAATTTAATATTAAATAAAAAATAATAGTTTTAACAAAAATGACTGTATTTTAAATGGATAAATATTTTTCCTAATTTTAAATTTTTTTGAAAAAAAATGTTTCTCTTTTTAAAGAAAGGTTATTTTAGCTAGAACTAGTATTTTTTTGTTTACAATTTAAATTTTTTTAAAAAATCTTTCACTTTCTCCCGGAAAATTAGATGCACAATCTCTCATCTAAATTAAGAGTTTGATGTTTGTCATTTTAAATGATATAAGTTATGTCATTTTAGGAGAGAGATAGACACAAGAAAAGAAAATGACAAATACTTTTCCCATAAATTATTTGATCTTGGAAAATAATTATCCCAATTGTTGATCACGGTATATTTAACTTTTCCGAGTTTGATACATCTGATAGTGGAAAATCAAAACTGAACCTGGTATGATATAAAATAGTCTAATATGAAATCGCCACTAATCCATTCATTATCTTTCTCCGTCTTTCATGAAGCCATATTCATTTCCAATTTTAGGGCCCAAATCAAAATAGGCCAAAAAAGTGACCAAACTTAAAATGAATGAGTTCGTCAGTAATTGAATTTACTTGCAATTCGTGAAACAATTTTAATTGCTGAGAATGGCAAGAAGGAAAAGAGAAACAATGTTTGCAGCAGCGAGGAAGAGGGTGAGAGAAAGTGAAACTGTCGAAGTTATGTTTGACCATTGATTAACCAAATAATCTCACAATAATTAGTAGGTTGAAAGTCTTTTAGATAGGTTGTAAATATTTTATTGTGACATACTTTTATATCCTTTAAAAACACAAACACTATTTATTTTTTTGGTACAGTTGATTGTTGCTCTCTTATAGGGAAAAGACTTATCCACTCATAAATGGGTCTATATTAATCCAAACTTAAACGTTTTATTGTGGGCTAGCTGGGTTGAGACGCTATAATGGGAGAGTGGAATTCTCATAAAACACATTGTATGGATAAAAATTTCACCCTACTAATAAGAATATATATGCTATTATACAAGTCGATAAGTGGTTCGATGAATAATAGGCGTGTGGTATGAGGTTGGATGATATTATTTACTAGTATTGTGCATAAAGCTTGCAAAAAGGGTTTCAATGTTTGAAGAAAAAGGATTACAACATACCTATTGCATCATCCCAATGAGAAAACATGATCCCTTTAGGAGCTTTACGTATTCATTGCATCCAAGTTGTGTTGCACCCTTATTGCTTCAATTCTTGAAATTCTCATTGCCAGCTTTCTTCACAAAATCAGTAGATAGTGTTTTGTTCGTGAATTTGTCAGAGTATTAAATGGGTTGGTGGCACAGATTCCACGACCTTCAGATGAACAAGTATTAGAGTAATTTTTGAAAAAGTGGGGTTAGATATTCGTAATTGGAAAACCACTGGGATTAGCCTAGTGATGTGGGGGGGGGGGGGGGGTTAGGTGTCTGTAGTGTAATGTTCGATTCCCATTGTAATTCAAAAAAAAAAGAAAGATTTGTAATCGGGTTTAACTCATATACCTACTAATAATATTCGGGTTATGATATTTGCAATAACAAAAGGGGAATTGCAAACTCCCAATACCTATATAGCGGTGCAATGTAAGGCGGCAATAGAAAAAAGAATAAATTAAAAAAACCAAAGCAGGGAACAATTTTGGGGCAAACAGTACTGTCATTGTTGCAGATTTTCGCAAAATTGAAAACAACAAAGCATATTCGGAAAAAAAATATTGAGCTCGTGGAGAACAAAACTGACATCAAAGAGCTAAGAGGCTGTTTGTTAGAAGTAATTTTTTAGGAATGACTGGAAAGTGAAAGTGGGATTCATATATACCCATGTTTGGTAGGAGTTTTCACAATATTTTCCAGGCCATGTGATTTGCCTCTCATTTCATATTATGTACAAATTGTGAATCTTTTTCCCTTCTCAAAATACCTCCAAAGGGGTGGTTTTTTGGTTTGCTGGGTGTAGGGATTTGGACATAATTTTTTTAGGACAAATGTGCCCTTCCTCTCCAGAAACGTGTCTGCATTTTGGTGCTCCCCCTTCACTCTACTTTTGGGAGATCTATAGATGAAAAAGTGTAAAAATTCACACAGGTAAAAGAGAAAATCCATGAGCAGACCGGCAACGAAGGCAAGAGCATCGACAGCGGCAAGACAACCAGAAACGAAGGAGCGATGAGGGCGGCAAGACAAACCGCCATGTATGGTTCTCTCTCTCTTGGGAGATCCATTGTTTCTCTGTGAAAAAAAACTTTCATTATATTTTTTCAAAAATAAAGTGAAGCTAGAGCCAATTAGCAGAGCAAGAGGATCGATAAAAAAAGTCGTAGCTTGCCTTCAAGGTTGGCGCAAACAAAACGTGATTCTCTGTATATTAAAAAAAATAAAAAAATAAGTGAAAGTGAGGTGATTTTTGTAAAATAACCTCACATTTCCATTAATATTTCACAATCAACCAAACAAAAACTCAGTAAAATTTACAAAAAATCCCAGTAATATTTTTGCATACCAAACAAATTTTTTATAATATTCCTGGGTAATTCACTTTCCTATCATATTCCTGGTAGTTATGATTCCCAGACACCAAAAAATTTCTCCTGTACCAAACGCCCCCTAATAATCTCCAACATTTTCCCGATAGTTATCGAACAACGTTCCCGACGAAATGAAAATTGGCGTCACCGATGGAGACAACCTATGATGCACGGACACGGACACGAGACACGGGACACGAGACACGACACGACGACACGTTAATTCTAAAAAATGTCATATTTGGACACGTTTTGATATTAAATAAAAATTTTAATATAAATAATATGATTTATATTTAATACATATAAGAGTCCATAATAAGTCATATAACCAATTAAATATTTAAATTTCATAACATAAATATAAATATAAATAATTTTTCGTAGTTTGTTAATTTTCAATGTCAAATTTTATAACAAAAAAAAATCAATTTATGAATTATTTCTTTTATATTTAGTTAACAAAATAAAATTAAGATTTTAAAAAAATAAAAAAACGTGTCCGAGCGTATCCCCAAATGTTGACCGCGTGTCCCCAAATATTGACCGCGAGTCGGAGAGTCGACCGCGTGTCCGAGCGTGTCCGTGTCGGACACGTGTCCGACACGTAGAATTGCCCGTGATTATTAGGCCCGTCTCAAATTGGCCCAGGGAAATTTTCAACCGAGTCTTCATTTCTGCTAGGAATTCGGCACTCACCAAGAATCCCAAAAGATGGATATTTTTGCCATCTGGCGTTTGGTACACGTCATTTTTTCGAATTTTCGGAGAATTGAATTTTTCTAAATTTTTAATTTTTGAATATTATCGTAAACTGAATATTTTCATCATATTTATGAAAATCGAGATTCTCGGATAATTTTTTTTTTCCTCTACCAAACCCTGGTCCACGTTTGGTACTGGAGATTTTTAAGTTACCGAAATTCACGATTATCAGAAATATGATAGATATAAAAAGTATCCGGAAATGTTACAAAAATGATGTTTGGTAAGCAAAAATATTGCTGAAAATATTGGTTAAATTTTCTGAAAGGCTGTATGGATGATGACAAAATATTGTTGAAAATATGATGAAATTTTACGAAACTACCCACGTAAAACATAACTTTAAACACGATTTAGATAAATAAAATAAAACAACAGGCTAAGAAGTGGTCATTGATCTTGTGAACCACACAAAACTTTTTCAACAAATGATAAGGTAAGCTCGTGAGGGTAATTTAGTCTGAGAAATTTGTAAATGATTTGCCAAGAAGTGGGAATTC